GTGTGTGTGTGTGTGTGTGTGTGTGTGTGTGTGTGTGTGTGTGTGTGTGTGTGTGGGGTGGGGGGCGCTCACGCGTGCCCGAGTGCGTATTTTTGTGTGTCACTATGAGTCTTGTCTCGGGCTTCCCTCACCACCCGGTCATGCACCATCACGACAGCCACCACTATTCGCTGCATGCGGCGGCGGCCGGTCGGTGTCACGAAGACACCGGTGCTCCACCGTACTTCACAAGCTGGTTGATAAGTCACGCGGATATGTCACCTACAGAGTATAGCCTTGCGCCCGGCTACAGCCCGGAGTACCATGGCAACAGCGGCAGTGGGTCAACCGTCGGACTGGACCCACACCATCACCACTACTATGGCCCTGGAGGGTTAGTTCCAGGACCCGGCACCATCTCGATGAACGGAACCACGGTCGGTATGCACCATCATCACCACACTCATCCTCGGACCGTGAAGCGAAGACCAACGGCCAATCGCAAGGAAAGGCGGCGGACCCAGAGCATTAACTCAGCTTTCGCGGAGCTGAGGGAATGTATCCCTAACGTCCCGGCCGACACCAAGCTGTCCAAGATCAAGACGCTGCGCTTGGCCACCAGCTACATCTCTTACTTAATGGACATCCTAGACAAGGACGAACAACACGGAGACACCCAGGCTTTCAAGGCCGAGCTAAAGAAGACGGAGGCTCGGGAAGAACGGCGGAAAAGAGAGGCGGTAAGATGTGCTCTACGGCCACTATTTGTTGTGAAAATGAGGTTAAAGGGTATTCATTATAATAATCGCTTAACGCAAACAGTACACATATAGTATTGTCTCTGGTTAGCTGGTTCATTAGTAAAGGAGTTATTAAAGGAAGGTTCTAACGCTGGAGTGGGCATGATGAATTTAGAGTTACTTTCGAAGAAAAGTAACAAACAGTTTAAAATCGGATTATAATTACAGGCAATTACAGATTTAGAATTCTGTACTGTATATCTGGCAAAGCAAGACACTCCTTTTTACAAACCAAATGGATAAGTCATTTCCAATGGTGACCTTATATTTAAGACGAATTAAATGAGTTTATTTTTACTCGACTCAACAAATTACCTAAGTTCACAAATTTGATTCACTCCTAACACTGAATTATTTCATATCGATTTATTTGACAAAGATGAATCATTGAAGGAGACATTTCAACACGTTGTTGGTAGGCAGCGTCTGACAGGAGACAATAAACATTCATTTTGTGCATCGTGGGATTTACTGAAGGTTCATAGTTCTTTTAAAACACTGAGTCACGCCGTTTACTTTCCACAAAATAAAAAATTGTGTAAAATTAACTTCCGAATAGTCTGGAATTTATAGAATACGGGACATCTTTTCGTATCTAACTGCGGGTTGTTTTACATGATGTGAAGTAAAATCGACACATTTAAAATTGTACTTTTTGCTTTTGCACGAGTGCCCATATGTTTTTTCCACAGCAGCCTATTCATAAAGCGGCATCAGCACATAGTTACTATATTTTACGGCTATTAGATTTAATGTTCTCTACAATAATAGCGATAAATTCAGTTAACAACAACAGTAGTGGCACCGTAAATAAAGTTTTAAGCAATTGTCTGCTGCAATTTGACCGAGATTCACCAACAAGCCGCGAATATTCTGCATATTGAATGAAAACTAATGGACTGAATAGATAGAGCTGTTATCAGCTCGGTGTATATTAATTTGCACTGAATTTAAATTCCAGCATTAAGACGCATCCCTTATCCACGCAGACGTGATACTTATACTACTGTATAAGTGTGTAGACATTTAGACATCCAAAACAGTCTCTACAGTGCGTGATGAGTGAGTGGGGTGGGGAACAGGCAGAGACCAAGCCAAAATCTACTGTGGTAGGGGAAAGGGGAAACAGCAGCACGGGCTTATGGTGTGCTAGAATTACACAGTACACAAATGGGGGGTAATCAGAGAGCAACATTTATTTGGAGATGGGCTGCTGAAATAGCCAATAAACTGAGAGCAAATAGTAAAATTGAAGAGTGTTTCCCTATTTTTGTAATAGCCACATGACTTCCTTTGCACTGATCACTCAAGCAAAAACATATATCATCATAAACACACAAAAAGATTACAAATACATAAAATAAGTCTACAGAAAGCTGGCTGCCATTCTCTGACGGTTTGGAGCCAGGAGGGCCAGGTGCTGCCATACACACCGACCACTATTATGCCTGGAACACTATCATCCTTACAGCCAGTAACGCTATGTACTTTTGGTCACTTTTGGTACTTTTAGCTCTGGCTGCACTGCCAGATGTGTAATGTGTAAGCCATGGCTCCAGCTTTAGAGGGCTGTGTAGTTGTTTGCTATTTATTTTTTTGGCCAATCCAACAGTTTTAATTCCACTTCAACGGATTTTTACCTGCCTTTTGCATTCAGCTGACCCCCGCACACACTAGCAGTTATCTGGCCAAAACATAGTAATATCAAACGGAGGCCATATTTATATTTATATGGTCATAGCTTATGTCACCGGTTCATGCTTCTGCATTTTGTTTATAATGCTTATTTCTGTCAGAATAAATATTATCAGCACAACAAGTTGCTTTTCTTATAGTGACCACTGAGCTTTGTCCTGCAGAGAAGATGAGTGTGGATGATGGCCATGTGTGGTATTGTTTGTTCAGCAGACAAACAATACCACAGCAGAGCCTGGAGGAGAATAATAATTTCCTGTCTGTTGTCTATAGGAAGTGTGGTGCATAATTGAAGCCAGAGAGCTTTCTTTTTTCCCTCATATTTCAAAAAGAGAATGTAGTCCACTTCATAACTCATGTCAGCTCTCTCATGAGACTCCTGGCTTGGGCTGAATGCACATTTTCACAGCCCAACAGAGACACTACAGCTGAATAAAATTATATCCTACGTGTCAACAGAATCCATTAATTCGTTTTTAAAAAAATCCGCAAAATAATTAATAAGAAGAAGCATCACTATGTTACATCAGTGAACTAACATAATGGCGCTTCTGTTCCTCAGCCTGGTCTTCCATTAATAATAAAGTGGGAAACCCAGAGGACAACTTACAGCGTCCTTAAGAGGACAGACCTCTAAGCTTGCAAATAAGGGGGAGGGGTGCGTGGCCGGTCTGGAGGAAATAAACTCAGTTTTGTTGTTGTTGTTTTGTAAGTTTACATCGCAGTGCGTAAAATGGGGAATTAAGATCTGGATATAACGCAATTCACAGAAGGTTTTTTTCCAGTTCAGTTTGTGTTTCGCTAGTTTCAAGGATATAGTCTGTTAACAATAAAATTCCTGGATGCTGGATTAACTTTTTTCAGGCCTTTGCTTTCACGTATTAGGTCATTGTATGACACACACACACACACACACACACACACACACACACACACACA